CACAAGTCCGCATCTTGTACAGCAATTAACCACTAAGAAGAATATATGCAGTGTATTATTTGTTGAAACTGTCCTTCCGATATGATTTGAAACTGTCTCATTGCTATCTGTTTGTCAATAAAACTTTGAGAAAAAAAAAATAAATAAAAAAAAATAAATGGGGCTGAAAATGTGACATTTGTCATGCCACCTACTAGTAGTGAAATTAGGAAGAAATCTTGAAGATATTGGTGTAGGCAGAGTTTATGATCAAAACCTAGACTACATAATCTATGTATTGATGAAACTTTTCTGTTGAAGTGAAATTAAAGAAATATTTTTCTTCTTAAAATTGTATAAGATCCTCTTACATAATTATAAAAAACACATCTTAAGTTAAATAAATAAAATCAATCATGCAATTTTTATATAGCTTTGGATTGTATGTGAGAATTAAGTTGCTGTGTATCAGTCAGTTAGAAGTTAAGAATCTGATGAGAAGATAACTCTCTAGTTCTGTAAAGGAAAAATACAGAACTAGACAAAATAGTCATATTGCTAGTTCTCTTAGTTCACTGAAAAGAAAGATTTGTGCTAATATTTTTGGACTATATTTCATGCCTATATCATGTATTCTGAGTAACTACTCAGATAGTGACAATATGTAATTGTTATGGTTGATATATTGTGTCAATTCAAGAAGCTTAGAAGCTTAACTAAATGACTCAGAGGGGTTCCAGGTCCTCACTCTGTCCACATTCTGAGCTTATGAAAGAGGAGGGCAGAGATGGTGTGTGCGGGTCACTCGCGCACAATATAAGGGAGGACAAGGGGTTTGCTCTGCCACCTGTTTTGCTCTTGCTGCTTCTGCTGCCTTGTACCACCTTGAACTGTTGCTACGTGCCATCCACCTTACCTTGGAGTCAGCTGATTATCGACTGGAAGCTGCATAAACTGTGAACTAAGTAAACCTTTGGTTCTTTAATTTTGGGATCAGGTGTTTTGTGCCAGCAATGAGAGAAAAGTCGCCAAGACAGCTATATATTAATCATTGTTAATCTCCTCTTAGCTTGTTTTGAAAGACTCTTATTTTTGTCTCTTTAAAGTATAAAACAAAATCAAATAATAAATGAAATCTAAAAACCAATAGTGGCACCATGACAGTGAAACACATATACCAATATTTATTAATTAATATATAATAGCATCCTGGAAGCATTCTTCATACTCATTGACAGATAACTACATAAAGAAAGTTCAGCTCAAGTCAGCAACCTCTGACATTGCCAGTCCTGCGGATAATCCACTACTATCATAGACTACTGGATTATATTTGATTACTCTGCTGAATTCATGCACCTACAATATATGAATGGCAATGGAATACCCATCTCTGACAAAAGTAAACAAAAAGAGGATATAAATGAAAGTCTATTTTGTAGTGAAAAAATATATATCTGTATAAACAGAATAGCATATATATACAGCTACTTTCTCTTAGTTGAATGAGAAGAGAGTTTTGAACTCATAGTGTTTATACAAGATATCATGTCTGCATCTTGTACTATGAATAACTACTACAAAGACAACAATATGCAATGTATTAATTATTGTAACTGTCCTACTATCCTATTTTAAAACTGTCTCACTGCTACGTCTTTCTCAATAAAATTAATATAAAAAATAAAATAAGAAATAAAATAACTCAGTATGTCTATATCATGAAATACTAATGGACTATGAAAAGGACAAATTTGAGACATTTGTAGGTAATGGATGCACCTTCAACACTTAATGTTGAATGATGTAAACCAGGCACAAAAGCTTAAACACCATATGCTCCCTCTCATTTGGGTGAGTGAAGGTACAAAGAAAAGGGTAAAGCATGGCTAGAAAGGGACAAGGGGATGGGCGTCCTGCTATTGGGAAGTGGTCCAAGAGAATAAAGGCAAGCTATGAGGTGGAAAGGAAGTTAAAAAGAATACAGAGGGGTTGGGACTTGGGGCTTCTTCCCTGCTGTTGAAGTTGTCTACAACTATTTCATGTTCTGTTTATGTTTATAAGTATTTATTTATCTATTTATTTATTTATATTTATTTATTTTGCGGAACCAGGGATTGAACTCAGGCCCTTGTACTTACCAGGCAAGTGCTTATTCAACTGAGCTATCTCCCTGGCCCTCATATTTTTATTCTTAAAAACATTTCTTTCTCAAATTATATTTGCACTTTGCTCTAAATATATTCATTTTACACATTGAATTATGGGTGTTTCCCCTTATACTTAAAAATATATTTTCTTTGTAGGTGTTTGCAGTTCATATAGTTTACAATTGCCTCAGGGAATGGTTACATGTACATATTATGAGTTGCTTTTCTTTTTCTCAATCCTCTTCCTTTTCCCTCCATTTCCCTCTCTCCTCCTGTAGTCCCTCCATGTATCTAATAACCCCAATTAATGTAAACACTATAGGCCATTACATGAATTAAGAAAAATATTAACAAAAATGAAACAGTGGGATAAAAGAACTATAGGAAAAGAGAGGGAAAAGGGAGAGAAAGGGAAGAGGATTGAGAAAAAGAAAAAAATTCATAATATGTACATATAACCATTCCCCAAGGCAATTGTACACTACACAAACTGCAAATACATACAAATAAAATATTTTTAAGTATAAGGGGAAACAAACATAATTCAATGTGTAAAATGAATATATTTAGAGCAAAACACAAAAGCAATTTGAAAAATAAATGTTTTGAGCATAAAAATATGAATACTTGTAAACTTAAACAGAACATGAAATAGGCAACTTCAACAGCAGGGAAAAAGCTCTAACTCCTATTATCAGTTTCATCCCTGTCTCAGATGGGTAGAGGTACCACAAACAACGCATGCTACTGCAGCATCCGAGAAATGCTGGAAGCAGTTGCTGTTTCACTGCTTGAATCTGAATCTACTCCTGTACTACGTTCTGTGGGGAATGGGTAGCTTATGCCACATTGTGGGATTTCAGATATTCTGTGCTGCTGAGATGAACATGAGCAGATGCAAATACAGCAAACAGGGCCAAAAGCCAGACCTCTTTGTCATAAACAGGATGTTGCAACATACTCTGAAAACCCACTTACTCTAAACTCTGGAAGCTGTTTGAGGGGCAGAGATTATGGAACAAGATGGAGACTGCCATTTTCCTCAACTCACAAACCTGAAAGGGGGAAGCTAACATATGGACAGGAAATATTCTCTGGCTCCAATCAAGGAAGGAAAATATTCACCAGAAATAATGAAGTATTTTCAGTAGGTCCCGAGGCACGCAGTTGGGGAAAACGGAAGAAAAGGCACAGTGTGTGGGCCTATGCATCCACAGATTCCAATGCATTATTCATACAGGGAAAAGTTAACAGAATAGGCACTTACTCTGTTTCAATTGATGGTCCATAGCGTCCATCCAAGTGGAATTCATTCGTAAGAAGAGGAAAGAAGGCACTAATCATCACATCACCATCTTTGGATACTTTGTCATTTACTTGATCCAAGCATCCCAGAATGATAACACTACACAAAAAGAAAGAAAGCCCCAAGATCAAGAAGAGAAAAAGCACCGTGTGCATCTTAGAAGGGTCTGCAAGTCTCTAGCCCTGAGCAGGGTGTGCCTGCAGTGCCAGACAGGCACACGGATCCGACTGTGTGGACGAATGTGCACTGCATGTTTATTACTGCGTGGGCTGCAGAGACCTCTCACCCCCAGAAACTTTTTATCTCAGCTTCCTCTCCTTCTCTGGAAGACAGCAAAACTCTTCTGACCTGGGGCTCTGCATCTGAGGTCCTGTGCGCAGGTGACAAACACAAGTCGAAAACTGTGTAGAGGATAATAATTTCTATCCCCAGGTACCACAGTTTTATCCAAGTCCACTGCGGCAGACTCCAGGGATGAACTCCTCATAGGCAAGTTTGCTCTGCTGTGTCTGTCAATAAGCCATTGTCACACACATCATCTGAAATCATGTCCACGTATTGTATGAGAGAAAATACACCATATGATGTGAGGGACGAGGGTCAGGAAGGCCTCATGGCAGTCAGCGTCATACAGAAACACCTACCCTTGTATCTCTGTGTGACTAATGTGGCAAATGACACCTGGTGTCAAGGTAGCAGAAACACATTCGCTGGGCTGCCCATTTAGATCTACATGCAAGTCACAGGTGTAATTTTACATTTGCGTGCATTCCCATTTCTGGATAAGCAATATTCATGATGAATCCAAAAATTTCCAGTCATAGTTCAGTATCAACATTGAATTTCTTTTTTAAAATGATTTTATTGAGAAACAAATAGCAATGAGACAGTTTCAAAACTAACTAGTAGGACAGTTTTAATACTTAATACATTGCACATTGTTGTCTTAGTGGTTATTCATTGTACAAGAAGCAGACATGATATCCTGTTCACAAACACTATTAGAACAAATCTTTCTATTCATTGAATTAAGAGAATGCAGTTGTATATCTATCCTAACTATTTTGAATTTACAGATACAAAATGGTCATTCATCTGTATCCCTTTTTTTTTTGTTTGGTTTTGTCAGAGAAGGGTATTCCATTGTCATTTAAATATTATAGGTGCCAGAGTTCAGCAAAATATTCCAGTATAGTCCAGTAGTCCATAACAGAAGTGTGTTTTCTGTAAGACTGGCAATGTCAGAAGTAGTTAACTTGAGCATTTTACAGCTCATCGTATTAATATGGCTTTACTTTTTGTACCTCGTGGTTGTACTTTTCTGCTGGATGGTTAAGACCAAGATAAAGCAAGACCTATACAACAAGAAATGTAGCTTTTGTATCGGATATGGTCAGTCAAATCCATATTTGCTTTCTCTTTCTTTCTTTCTTTCTTTCTTTCTTTCTTTCTTTCTTTCTTTCTTTCTTTCTTTCTTTCTTTCTTTCTTTTTTGTGTGTGTGGAACGAGGGATTGAACTCAGGCCCTTGTGCTTGCCAGGGAAGTGCTTATCAAGAAATTGTGTTCTATTTTCTTGGATTTCTTCTGAGACTCATTGAGTGCCCAGGAATGTGTTATTAGGTTACTACATATTTATTTATTTTCTATGGTTTCTTTTGTGATTGATTTCAAGTCGCGATGCACAAGAATCTGATAATATACATGTGGTGACTTTGATTCTGTGACATTTTGGGAAGCATTGTAGACCAGTTTGGAGAAAGTTTCACATGTTTTGAAAAGAATTTGTATTCTTCTGAGGTATGGTAGAAAAGTCTGCATATATCTATTAACACCACTTGTTTAAAAATTAGGTTCATCACTAATGTTTCTTCATTGATATTTTGCTTATTTGGTGTGTCTCTTGTCATAAGTGGGACATTGAAAGCACCTTTATGATTCTGTTTGTGTTTACTATGTTTTATTTTCAGCAGCCTTTATTTAATGAAGTTCACTCAAATATCTGAATAGATATATACTTATAACTTCCTTATCTTCAAATTGAGCTGTTCCTTCCACTAGTATGTGGTGACCTTGTTTGCCTTTACTGATAAGTTTAAGCTTAAATTAGACTTTTTTCAAGAATATGATTGCACCCTTGCTTGCATTTATTTGTTTGTTTGTTTGTTTGTTTGTTTGGTGCAGGATTTCACTCCTCAGTTCAAACTCAGTGATCCACTTATTTCAGCCTCCCCAGCACAGGGATTACAGGTGTGAGCCATCACGCCCAGTTTGCACAGCATGAGGTTCTGGGGTACTGGGGGTTGAACCTGAGTCTTTGGCAGGCAGGTGCTTAGACCTCTGAGCTATCTCCCTCGACCCTACCTTGCTTGCTTTCAGAAGCTTAAGATAGTACATTTGCTTCCATTCTTTGATTATAGTCTATACCTTTCTTTTTAATTAGATGAGTTTCTTGAATGTACCTATCAGATAGATACTGCATTTTTCATACAAAGCCAATCTCTGCTTTTAATTGGAGAATGAGCCCAGTGGGGCAGGCATGGAGCTTTCCTGGTGCCATTTAAGAACTGTAGAGAACTCTAGGAGGCCTTGGGACTCTGGTAACCTGTGAACTGAGACCCCAACATGCAAGTGTGGAGCTTGTGATAGTTCCAGTCCAACCCTTTAGGAACTTAGGAGGACCCTGAGAAGGTTGTGGGACTCTGGAGAGCTGTGATATATGGGCCCAGCATGTGCCGGTACAGTGCATTCCTGGCACCATTTAAGAATTTTGGAGGACTCTAGTTGGCCTGCTGGCGTGTGGTAAGCTATGAACTTAGACCCCAGTGCACAGGCGTTGAGCTTGTTCTAGCGCCTGCCTACCTTTTAAGAACTTAGGAAGACCCTGAGCAGCCTGTGGGACTCTGAAGATTTGCAATCTGTAGAACCAGCATGTGCAGGTGCAGAGCTTTCCTGGTTCCTGGTCCATCCATTTAATAACTTAGGAGGACTCTGGGGGGCCTTCAGGCTTCTGATAAGCTGTGTCTCTTGGCCACTCAGCACACAGGTATGGAGCATGGGCTGGCACTGCTTCAACATTTTAAGAACTTAGGAGGATTCTGGGCAGCTCATGGGATCCTAGTGAATCCAGACAACACCCACAACCTACACTGAAGCTTCGTTGAGTATCAGCCAGCTACCCCTACTAGCAGTGAGAGCCTTGGTAAGTCTCCCTGCACCCGACTGTAGCGGAAACCTTACCAACACATGCCTCACTGCTCTCCCACCAGTGCTATGTCTGGGTGATTACTGGGAGCTTCAAAATGCCATAACATAGGAGTGAAAGGCAATCTCAATCCTCCACTCTACCCAGCACAAATCTAGGGGACAAAGTCATACAAAAACTTGGAAATCACACACCCAAAATTTGTAAAATGATAGCAATGGAAGTGAAGAAACTAGTCCATGAGGCTAAAAGAAATAAGATCAGAAATAATCTCTCAGGTAAAAAGAAATGGCAACAATCATGAAAGAATTGCTCAGCACAGCTAAAGAAAATATAGATTAAAGAATAGATGAAAATAGAAAAATGATGCAAACACTGAATGAACAATACAGGAAAGAACTAGAATGCATGAAACAGACTCAAACACATATCAAGGTAATTAAGAACTTCATTGAAAGCTGGCAAAACCACTTGAGTGAAACTGAAGATAGACTTTCAGACCTCAAAGATGGGGTGCAGCTAATGATGTAAAAAAGAAAGATCTGCCAAAACTTACAAGGAACCAGAAAATAACAATTCAGCAGCTAAAGATGGTGTACAGAAAAGTAACATAAGAATAACTGGTGTCAATGAAAAAGCAGGAGATAGCTCAAATGACATATAAAGACTATATGTGGAAGTACTAGCAGAAAATTTTCCAAACATAAGAAAAGAACCTAATATACAAGTAAGTGAGGGATACATAATTTCAGACAGCCATAATCAAAACAAATCTACAATTTAGACACATAATAATCAAAATCTCAGAAGTTAAGCAAAATAATACAATATGAAAACCTGCTAGACAGAAGAAAAAGATCCCGTATACTGGAAAGCCCATCAGAATCCAGCAGATTTCTTGGCACAAAACATCAAATCAAGAAAAGCATGGAGTGATGTACTTCAGGTCCTAAAAGACAATAACTTCCAACCCAGATTAATGTACTTTGAAAAACTATCCATCAAATTCCACTGCAAGATAATACTTTTCCATGACAAAGAACAACTGAAGAAATTCATGACCACCAAACCAACCCTACAAAGAATACTGGCAGATATTCTAAAAAGAGACAGAAGTGACCACAGCTTCAAGAATAACAGAAAGGAGCCACCAAACAGAGCAACTAATTAAAAAGAAGGAAAACCTATGGAACCTATAACAGGAAAACAAATGACAAAGATAAGCCAATACATATCAGTTATAATGATCAATGCAAATGGCCTCGATTCACCAATGAGAAGAAACAGATTAGCAGAATGGATTAAGAAATAAAATACAAAAGTATGCTGCATACAAGAAACACATTTAACTCTAAAGGAAATTCACAGACTGAAAGTCCAATGATGGGAAAGAATGCTCCTTGCAACAGGAACCCAGAAGAAATGAGAGGTAGCTATTCTGGTTGCTGGCAATATCAAATTCAAACCAAAAATGATTCAAAGAGATAATGAAGGCCACTACATACTTGTTAAAGAGAAAACTGCAAGAGGAAGAGACAGTAATTATAAATGTATGTGTGCCCAAGGTAGGAGCACCCACTTACATAAGAAAAATTTTAACAGATATGACAAATCAAATGAGCAATAATACAATAGTAATGCGGGACTTGAACAAGCCACTGTAACAAAGAGATTGACCAACTAGGCAAAAAAAAAACCAGCAACAAAATTGCAGAGCTAAATCATACTTGTAGAGAGATGGATTTAGTAGACATCTACAGAGTGTTTCACCCAACAACAACAGAATACACAAGCAGGAGATAGCACAAATCTTCTCAGTGTCACATGGGATGTTCTCCAAAATAGACCATACACCAGCACACAGAGCCTACTTAAGTAAATGCAAAGGAATTGAACTTATCTCCTGCACACTATCTAACCACAGTGCAATGAAAGTGGAAATTATTGACATAAGAAACAGTAAAAACACCATAAACACATGGAAATTAAATAACAACCTCCTAAATAAACAGTGGGTCAGGGCAGGCCAAATAGCTCAGCAGATCAAAGCACCTGCAAGCAGGCATATGGGCCAGGGGTTCAATCCCTGGGCCTGCTGTGCTGGCCCTGTCCACAAGGTGCACTGAGATGACAGTTGAGACTGGGTGTGGTGGTGCATGACTATAATCCCAGCTCTTGGGAGGCTGTAAACAGACCGCTATGAGTCCAATCTAGTAGTGAGACCCTGAACACCCTGTAGACCCTTCCCTAAAATAAAAAACAAAATAAAAAAAGGAGAGAGAGATGCAAATTAAAATGTCTCTGAGTTTCCACCTCACACCAAAAAAACAGCTATTATCAAGAAATCACAAGATAAATTCTGGTAGGGATGTACAGGAAAAAGAACCTTACTCCCTGGTTGGTGAGAGCATAGACTGGTACAAGCACCCTGGAACTCAGTATGGGGATTCCTCAGAAAACTAAAGCTCATGGTCCCATTGACCCACCTACTCCCCTTCTATATCTCTTCTTAAAAGAATTAAAATCATCATATACAGTGATACATGCCCAGTGAAGTTCAAAGCAGCACAGTTTGTTGTAAATCATGGCTGGAAACAGCCCAAATACCATCAAGTAATGAATTTTATTTTACAATGGAGTACAAACTCCACCTCAAAGAATGATAAACTCGAGGCATTTCTTCACAAATGTGTGCACTTTGAGACATATGCATGTGAAATAAATTGGATACACATGTGTTAGGTAAATGGAAGTGAGAGGAAACGCTTGGAGAACCAGGCTGTGGTTCTCAGTCTTTATTCATCTACCTAGAGAAGGCTGACGTTGGAGTGATGCCAGCAGCTATCTGGAAGGGAAACACATAAGTTTTTTTTTTTTTTTGAAAGGGCACAGAATTTTTTGAAAGGGACACAAGAGTCCCCAAGAATCTGGGTAGAATGCTTGAAGGTGAAATTGCACAGGCAGTCACCACAGGTAGGTGTAGAGAGTTCTGTTGCCAACGTAGCTTCAGTTCTGGTCTCAATATCTTTATTGGCCCCACTCCTTGTTCAACAGCGGTAACCACTTGTTCTCCATTGTTTACATTGAGAGAAATGGGGTCTCTCAGGTCTCTTGGAGGCCATTCCCAGGCCAGGCCTGATGTTGTAGAAATATGCATTTTCTCTCTGGAGTTAGAAACTAAAAGTATAAATAGAAACATTTTCTAAGAGATATTGTAAAATAGGAATTTTTTTTTCAAAAAGAAAGAACTATAGAGGGGGAGTGGGAAAGAAAGGATGGAGGAAATGAGAGAAAACAAGAGAAAAAGCAAAGATTTTGTAACTAATGAGGGAAACAGGAGTTGAAGGGAGAGTAAGGAAGTGGGAAATAATGAGGAATCATGCTATATCATGTACAAGAACAAATGGCCTATGTTGAGTGCTCATTAGGTATACATAATTTATACCAATTAACAATTTTAACAAAGAATTCGAGAAAGAAGATCAGTTATTCATTGAAGTATATCCTGTGCAATAACCTGATAACACCATAGAAAAAAAGATGAAACATTGCATTTGACTCTTCATGTATATCAGAAAAAAATTTTAATTTACAAAGGCTTCATTTTTTTTTTTTTTTTTTTTTTTTTTTTTTGGCTTCATTTTTTTTTTTTTTTTTTTTTTCGGAACAGGGGACTGAACTCAGACCCTTGTGCTTGCCAGGGAAATGCTTATTCTACTGAGCCATCTCTCCGGCCCCAAAGACTTTATTCTTATAGAGTGTAATTTATCTTTGAAGCCATGCAAAGAATTGCTCTCTAGCCTCAACAAAATAATGTAGCAGTTAGGGACAAAGATGCAGCCCAGCAGCCCTGCACTGGAGGCCAAGATGGAGAAGACCTCCATGACCACCATGACCTTCCCCTTGCTGCTGTGGTATACTGGCAAGAATGTGACCCACACAGTGCAGAACACCAGCATGCTGAATGTCAGGAACTTGGCTTCATTGAAGGTGTCAGGCAGGTTCCTGGCCAGGAAAGCCACAGCGAAGCTTGCCAGGGCCAGGGAGCTCAGGTATCCCAGGACACAGCAGAAGGCGGTGAGGGAGCCTTTGTTGCACAGGATGATGATGTGGCCATGTTCAGACTGAGTATCTGTGTCAATATAAGGTGGATTTGTCCCCGTCCAGATACCACAGAGAGTGGGTTGGATCAGGGAACAGATGGAGACGATGGAGTTTTGTGCCCCAGACACCAGCAACTGCCTCATCCTCCTGCCTGGAGCAGTGACACTAAAGGCCAGTACAACAGTAATAGTTTTAGCCAAGACAGTGGAAACAGCCACAGCTTCAAATGTAGTCTTCAGGATGCAGGTGTCTGTGTTGGGCTGGACAATGAAGAGCAGGGAGCAGAGGAAACAGCAGGTGAGGGAGGTGAGCAGGGTGTAGCTCAGGGCCCAGTTTTTGGTCTTGACAATGGGAGTGTCTCAGTGCTTCACAAAGAGCCCAAGGACAGCAGCTGTGAGGACAGTGAGACTCAGGGTGGTGCCAGCCAGAGCCTTCCCAAAGGATCTTCATAAGCCAGAAAAGCCACAGCTTTTTGAAGACAGAGATTTCTCTCAATGTTGCCATACCGATGATCTGGACACTTCACACGCTGCTCCATGTCTGGTGAGAAGTTCAAATTGTCATTATTTTGAATTTCTTCCGCATTCACAGACACACACCAAAACCTCAGTGGATTTATCGGGCACATTTTCCTCCACTTTTTTTCTATTTTATTTTGCTTTTTTGCAGTACTAGTGGTTTAATTGAATACGCTTTCCCTGGGATAAATTTCCAATTCTTTTATATTTTATTGTATTTTGTGACATGATATAGTTATGACACCATATTCAGTAGATGTGATCCAGCTTGTGATTCTTTTGAGATACTCTTGGAATGCTGATTGCACACACTCGCCACTATGTGCCCCTGGCTTTTCTTTGTTTCTCTGGGCACCGAGTAAAAGAACGTTGCATACAAAATACCTTCCAATTAATACTGCTTATTTCTTTATGGTGTAATAAAAGTGCCATTATAATTTTCCTTATTAATCTTGTATATTCATTAAAACATGTTTTCTCTTGGGAAAATATGCAGAAGGGGCATGGCTTGATAGAATGGAATTTCCAGTCCTAGTTTTTGAGGAGTCTTCACACTGATTTCCATAGTGGTTGTACCTGTATACATTCCCACCAGCAGTGGGGAAGGGTTCCTTTTTCCCTGACAGCTGTTCCAGAGTTTGTTATTAGTTAATTTCTTTATGATAGTCATTCTTTCTGGGGTGAGATGGTATCTCAATGTTGTTTTAATTTGCATTTCTCAAATGGACAGAGCTATAGAACATTGTTTTTCATGTATTTGTTTTCCATTTGTATTTGTTTCTCTGAGAAGTGTGTATTCATCTCACATGCCCATTTTTAGATTGGGTCTTTTCTTTAAAATTAATTTTATTGAGAAATAAATAGCAATGAGACAGTTTCAAAACAGGTTAGTAGGAGAGTTACAATAATTAATGCATTGTATATTGTTGTCTTCATAGTAATTCATAGTACAAGATGCAAACATGATATCTTGTCTAAAGACTTGTCTAAACTACAAACTGGTCCTTCATTTATATCCACCTTTTTTGTTTAGGTTTTTCAGAAACAGGTCTTCCATGTCCATTTAGATATTGTAGGTGCATGAATTAAGCAAAATAATCCAATATAGTCCAGTAGTCCATAAGGGTAGTAGGTTATCCACAGAACTCGCAATGACAGAAGTTGTTGACTTGAGCCTTTTACAGTTCAAAACAACTTTAAATTTTGGGGGTCCAGGTTGTTTTCATTCTTTATATAATTTAGATAGAATTACTTTGTCTGAGTGATTGTTGGTTACTGGCTATTTTCCCAAAAGAACTGAAAACTTCATACCATAGTAATATATGTGCACCCATGTTTATAGCACCACAATTATATCCAAATCTTGGAAACAATCAAAATGCCCATCACTTGAGGAATGGATTAAAAAGTTGTAGCATTTTTATACAATGAAGTACTACCCACCTGTAAAGAAAGACAAGCTTGAAGCCTTTATAGGTAAGTGAACACAACTAGAGGCTATACCCATAAATGAAATAAATCAGACCAACGTGTATAAATATATTGTCTCCCTAGCATAAGAACCTGAAAGAATAAATAAAACCTGAAAGCTATAACAGATATAGTACAATGGAAAGAAACGGAACTTAAGGATCAAACAGTGAACATAAGAGAAAGAAGAAATGATAGGACAAAAAGATGGAGGGAAAAGCATACAAGTATTTATACAGAATGGATGAGACGATTATACTCATAATTTCCGTCAGTTCTTCGCAAGTAGCAGTTAATGTTTATCATTTTCGCCTTGACTAGCTCTGTGTGCTGATTTCCACAATCTGAAGAACTACCTCGAGGGTAGAAATGTATAATACAAAACCCATGGTTGAATCCTTCTCGTCTCAGTCTTCTAAATGTGTACCATTTCTAATGTCTTATCAATTACTGTACTCTTTTTGAAATAAATTAGAACAAAAATATGTTTCCAACTTCACGAAACATTAACTGCTATCAGTGTCCTTAGAGGAGAGGAGAGTTGTTCCACCCTTCTGCCATATGATGATGCAGGTGCAGAATTGTCATTAGTGAAGTAGACAGTATCATTGACTGGGAACAAAACACATCATGCACACGCACAAATTTCTATCTATCTATAGCTCCAAAATGTACCAATAACTTTAATTAAAAAAAACAAAGTATAAATGGCCGGCCAAATAGCTCAGTGGATTAGAGCGCCTGTGTAGGCAGACTTAGGGGCCAGGAGTTTGAGCCCTTGGCTTGCTGTGCCTGCCCAGACTTCAGGGCTTGCTGAGATGGTGATTGAGACTGGGTGTGGTGGTGTGGATCTGTAATCTCAGAATTTGAGAGGCTGTAAATGGCAGGATCACTACCAGTCTGACCTACACAATGAGACCCTGTACACCCTGTGCACCCTGTCCTAAATACAAAACAACACCAACAAGAAAAAAAAATACAAAGTTTAAATCATATAATCTCTTGATTTCCTGAGCCTCCATAATAACTAATCTGTGGTCTGTTTTTAATGCAGCAAGCTCAATTAAGTCAGTATCTTAATTAAAAACCAACAGCCAAAAAGTAGAACCTGTGTTTGGAAAAACATACCCACATAAATCCTAAAAATCTAAATTTCAAATATGGCAGCATGGCATGCCAGGGATAGAAACCCATTCCTTGTGCTTGCCTAAGCAGGCACTTAGTCCACTAAGCTACCTTGCTGGCCATTATTTTTTCTTGTTTTTAATTTTTTTGACAAACTTTGCACATTTATATGTGATAATGTGAACAACTAATTTGAAGACAAAAAATGGAACATAATAAGCATTATTGAATTCCTATCATTGTGTTTAGTGAAATTCTGTATCGTTTCTAAATTTTTAATTACTTCTATTTTTTTTTTTTTACTATTTTTATTCTTTTTGAAAAAGAAGAAAAACAAAAGTTTAAACTTGGACTTGGAGAGGAAAGAAAGAAATGAAAACATACTTTCATTTAACAATGAATAATCTGCTTCAGATAGTGTTCTTTTAATAGCTACCCCATTAAAATAGAAAGGTTTAAGGAAGCTCCAGCTTTGCTATGTTTTTAAAGAAGTTATCTCTAGGCCAAAAATAACTACTAAAGAAGGCAGTGTTTTTAGTGTTTACAAAGCACACATATAATACTGTAGTGTCATTTTTAAACAAAGACTTTACCATTATCGTGGTCTATGTACATGAGCCCCATGGTGAGATGAATAATAATACCTTCTCTCCAAATATGTATATTGCATTTGTGAAGAGTGTAAACCTTGAAAAATTTCAGACTCAAGTATCATAGACATAATAGCCTTCTTATAAAAGGAAACCTTTCTACTTTGAAGACAATGAAAACATGTCAGTGTAAATTGGTGTCTATCCTCAACAACAAGTCAGTTTCCTATGTAAAATCAATCACTGCAACCCTCTCCAAAGAGATCTTCTGGTTATCCGCAGACTATTGATACAATGGCTCTATCAATAAGTAGGTAGATTTTAAATTCTCTTTGTTACACACACACACACACACACACACATCTCACAAAAACCAAGGTGCAGAGAACATATCAGAGAATGTATAAATCAATAGTAGCTCTTATGAATTGCTTAAGCTACGAAGAAAATCTATGATTAGAAAATGATACGCAGAAATGATAGGGTTAGGGAATATACTTCTTCCATTTTCAGGAAGTGAAATAAAAAAAACTACTGAAAATACACAGTAATTTACAGCCCATCCTGTTCATATGTTCATAGGAAGAACAGGACAGGAATATGGAGAATATTGATGTATCACGGTACATAGAAATGACTCATCCTGATAACCAAGAAGAAGATAAATACATAAAAAGAGACACATGGCACAGTGAAGAAGTCCTTCACAGGTGTGGGAACAAAGATGTCAGTGTAGTTCAATAGACACAAAAGGAGAAAAAAAATCCCCCAACCACCACATCTCCACCCTTCTGCACCTTGGTGATCCTGCTGGGAAAGTAAGACTTCATTATCAAAATTATACACCCAGAAAGGAGCTGCAGGAGAAGGAAAACAACAATCAAAGGGAACATTTTTGAAACATCTCCAAACCCTTAAATCTTTGGAAACAGAAAACTTGCAGGGTCAGCCAGAGATGTGTAGATCTTCTTCTTTTTTTTTTTTTTTTTTTTCAACGTATTTAGTACAGGGTCTACAGGGTCTCACTACACAGATCAAACTCATAGTGATCTTCTTGTTTTCAGCATCCCAAGCACTGGGATTACAGGCACACACCACCACACCCAGTTTCAATTGATGTCTCAGCACACCCCGAGGGTGGGCCTGGCATGGCACACTGGGGATAGAACCCCAGTCCCTGCATCTACCTAAGCAGGTGTTTTAATCTGCAGAACTATCTGCCCAGCTGCAGATCTTATACTTTGTGCACGTTTGACTCAGGTGGCTACTCTTATGTCCCAGCTTTCCCTCAGCAAAGCCTTTTTCATGCCTCAAGAGAAATTTTACATCATTTCTCTGAGGGGCTCTACATTGAGGCCTGGGGTTCAGGTGAAAAACAGAAGTTGGAAATTATAATCTAGCATGATTCTCTCCACCTAAAGGCACTATGATTTTTTTTTTTACAGCACCAGGGATTGAGCTCAGGACCTTGCTCTTGCTAGGCAGGCGCTCATTCTACTGAGCTATCTCCCTGGCACCTAGAAATATGATTTTCATGAGTTCACATACAGCAACATCTCAGGGAGTCTCCTCCTACTGGGCAGAATGGCTGCTAGGCCTGGGACAATAAGTCCTTTGCGTCAATGCCACTTTGGGTTTTGCTAATAGATTGCACTAGATGATTCAAGGTTAGGTGTTGTTGTGATAGTCTGAAAAAGCCTGTGCTAAGCCAAGAATGTTTCGGGTATTATAACCTAGAAAACTTAAAAGACTGAAGCATTACAAACTGAAGGTTTACTGCAGACACGGAACTTTTCTTGGATATCCCATATTGCCCGTGTCCCAGCTGTGGGGCTAAAACACACAGCTTCATCCAGTTGCTGTTGCTTGAGGTACCAATAATGAAGTTGAATTCAGAAAATCTTAATTAGTAATTCAAGAAATAAGATATAGATATATATGCTATAGATACATCAAAAAGGGTAGAGGGAAGGCGAGGCAGAAATGGAGTACAGGAGAGGGAGAGACATGAAAGGAGGGAGAAAGACAGGCTCTCCCTACACCATTGAGGCTGACCTTCGCTTCCCTGTGTAGAGCAGGCTGACCACAAACCCACGGTGATCCTCCTCTGAGTGGATTACAAGGATGAGCCACCTCCTCCAGCTCTAAACTGCATTTGGCCTGCATATTTCGTTCTTTTTACTGCTGGGTGATTTAAAATATCTGAGTTCCATGGTTTTATTCTGTTGTGATGAACCACTTCCAAGCTTATAACCTTGAGTTCTTCCATGATGAATAATTTAATCAGAGAATGAGTCTATGAAATAAACTTCTTTCTGGTTACCATGAAGAAAAGGAGCAAACCTTGAAATGACTTTTAAACACCCTTGACACAGTCATTGAAGAGCAGGGACACAGGTGAATGTAGGGCCTTGGAATACTTGTGAATTTTTAGGACACAAAAATTATTCTGCTAATATTGCAGTGCTTGAATCCATGTCCTTTTTCATTTGTTATGTTTAGCACTGACAATAGGGCCCAGTGTAATATCTGGTTTATCATAGTATGCATATATTAACATTGCTTTTTAAAATCATTTCTTTATTTGCTTATTTATTTGGTCAGGGCCTTGACACATAGCTTGGACTCATAGTGATCCTTCTGTCTCAGCCTCCCCAGTGCTGTGATTACAGGTGTGTACCACCACGCCCAGTTTCTTTGGACAGCATGGTGTGTCAGGAGTTCCATGGCCCACAAGGCACAAGGTACTGAGGATTGAACCCAGGTCCTTGCCCTTGCCAGGTAGGCGCTTAGACCGCTGAGCTGTCTCCCCAGTCCCATTCATATCATCTTATAAGTAGTTATCTTAGTATGACTTTATGGCCTCAATTTCTGGACAGCTTTATAAGGCAGGAAGCCCCAAAATCCCTCTCTCAGGTTATAATTTTCACTGATAAACTTCACCAGTGTGGACAGGTGCTCTTTGGCTGCTACATCCACCGTAGCACTCAGGATGAGAGAAAAGAAGCATGCAGCCCAAACTGCCCTTGAAGTTTCTTTCCCAGGGTATCCCTCTCAGAGTTCCAGGTCTCCAGCATCTGCTAGTGCTGTTTTTAATCAGAACCATGCATTAGCTGCTGTGGTCTCAACGTGCTTTTTATGGACTCCACCGAGATCTATCCAGCGCTCAATCTAGAAGTGCTTGAAAGTCCTTAAGAGGGTCCAAGGATCTCCTTTTTTTTTTTTTTTACATCTAAATATTTAATGACATTTTGTCAGCAATTATACAATTTTTTAAAGTTACATAACTGACAAAAGTTTTACAGTTCCATAGTTAATTATTTGCAGAAGGCACCTAAAATAATTGAGCTTATGTGATAATAGAATACTAAACTCATTAAGCCACCTACTACTTCTACAGAGCTTCACTTCGCCACTTGTGAAGTGAAGAGGAGTTGTGACAGTCCTAAGACTATTTTCTCTCATTATTTTAGGTATAATTTTAGTCCATGACTTAACAAATAAAAAGTCATCTCAAAACTTGTATCATTGGTCACTCAAAGTTCTCAATAGAGATTCAATGCCAACAGGAATCTTGGTAATGAATGGGTAAGGCCAGACTTACTTTACAGTTGTTTTGAATCTTATAGCAATTACCAAATGTACTTTATAAAATAACACTTCATAAAATGTTTCATCTGCAAATATTTTCCTAGTCTCCTCATTGTACACCAGACCCACATATGTAAATATTGTATAGTCTCCCTAGTACAAGAACTCAAAAGAAGAAAGAAAAATGGAAAGGTGTAACACAATTAAAAGGAAAGTGAGAACTTGAGGATTAGACAATGAAGAGAGAGGAAGGAAAAAGGCTAGGAAACATGACAGGGGCAAAGCCATACATTTATGTGTACAGGATGAGTAAGGCAATGATCCTGAGAATCTTCAGAAGATTTTCAAAGCTAGCAGTTAACTGGTAGGATTCTCACCCTGACTAATTATATATGTCTGTGAACTAAGCAACTGTACTGAAGATAGCAATGTGTAATAGTACGGTCATGCTTGGAGTGCCTGTTACTTTGGTCTTCTGATTATGTGCCGCTTGTTATGACACGCTGGTTGCTGCTGTGCTGTTGCTCAGATAGATGCTTGTTTAAAAAGGAAGAGGGTGGTGAATGAAGGCAGAAGACAGGAAAAACTGTTGCAGAACTGTCCTGCTACAATGCTGTATATGGTTAGATTTCTAAACTTCTGTGTAAAATTATGTAAGTGTTTATTCCTATATTTTTAAATATATATTTTTAATTTTTTTCTTTGTGTTTTGTAGGGACTTAAAGTTTAATATATCAATACATGGTGAAAAATACCTGTTCCATGTTATGCTAAAGATGTTTGATATTCAGACAGATAGTGAGGTTAAGCTGAACAGCTTAGGTTGCAGGGTAATAACAATAAGCTTCTCTTCTGGAAGGTTAACAACCTAAGTTTGCAGACCAAAAATTAGAGAAAGGAGGGCTGCAAAGACAGCCAACATTGTGACCCTAGCCTTTCGAGGTCAGTAAAGACTCAGGACATAGGAGAACCTGTAGTGGAACATCATGTAACTCAGTTTTGTCCCAAATTTTCTGATCAAGGTGATTATAGGGCCACAAAGGAAAGTGATAGATGATGTAGAGTGTGCCTAAGGAGAGTCACATGGAGAGAATATATTCTCTCAGGCTTTCACAGAGAGTAAATTGGTCAAGCGATGGCTGTGACTCATCCACATGGCTGACACTGACAAAGGATCTACAGACTGTGGTACAGGGCTGCAGGATAAATCCTGAGGTGATTTGACTGACCTTATCAGATGCAAAAGCTACATTTCTTGTATATAGGTCTTGCTTTATCTTGATCTTAACCATCCAGCAGAAAAGTATAAAAACAAAGTATCAAAAGTAAAGCCATATTAATATGCTGAGCTGTAAAATGCTCAAGTCAACAACTTCTGACATTGCCAGTCTTACGGAAAACCCACTTCTATTATGGAATACTGGACTATATTGGAATATTTTGTTGAATTCAGGCACCTATAATATTTAAATGACAATGGAATACCCTTCTCTGACAAAACTGAGCAAAAAAACAGGGATACAAATGAACGACCATTTTGTATCTGTATATTGAAAATAGGATAGATATACAGCTATATTCTCTTAATTCAATGAATAGAAAGATTTGTTCTAATAGTATTTGTAAACAGGATATCATGTCTGCGTCTTGTACAATGAATAACCACTAAGACTACAACATGCAATGTATGAATTACGGAAACTGTGCTACTAATTGGATTTGCAACTGTCATACTGCTATTTATTTGTCAATAAAATTACTGAAAAAGTAATATTGTAATAATAAAAATCTTTTCTTCAAACTAAAACAAGTACAAGATATTATAAGAACTAAAATCTACAACCAATATCCTTCAAAAACCAGAAAAAAATTCCTTAAGGAAATATGAGTAAATTAATTCAGCAAAAAATAACTACAGAATAGATAAACAGTTCAATATTTGAGAATCAATCAATGGGAGGCCACTCTGATACCTTCTGTCAGAGTGTAACCCCAATTAAACTAGTGCTTTCCTATTTTTGTTGCTCTTCTTTCTTTGTTCATGGCTGGCCTGGTCTTTGCCAGCTCTTTAAGCCAGAGTCTTTTACCATTTTCTCTTACTTTTTATATTTTAGCTTGTTTTATGGAAATTAAAATTGAAACAAAATAGTGAGAGAATAATAATAGTTAATACATTGTATATTGTTAACTTCAAAGTAGTTACTCAGAGTATAAGACATGGGCATACTTCTAATTATCTTTTTTCCTGTAAATGTGTGCATTAGTTTAATTTCCATGATTATGAAGAGCCAAGAACCATGCTTGTCAGTGACAAATTTTGGTGTCCAATGTGCATTTATTTCAACCTTTTGCAAGATTTGCCTGGATCCCATAATTAACTGAGTGGTCAGACACTGGACACTGTGCAGTGGAAAAGCAGAGCTGCACATGAAGAAACACAAGTGAATGCCTATATGATCTGGCATTAGGCAAAGAGTTCTTAGATGTGGTATAAAAAGCATAATTGATAAAAGAAAAACTTTATTAAAATAATAAAGACTTTATTAAAATAAAAATCATTGCTTTGTGAAAGACACTGTCAAAAGACAACGAAGAGTCAAAGATCTTGTAAGCCTCATACCCATCCAGAGTCACGATTCATTTCCCCCAAACAATGAGAATGTGGACAAGAAAGTAATGTTCTTTGTTTCCTGTCATATCCAGGGATTCGGCACTGCAGCCAACCAGGAATTATAAACTGGGTGGCAATGAGGGAATAGAGATACAAGATGTAGAAAGGAAAGTAAAAACACTTTAGTTGGAAGACAGAAGAGAAATGAGGAACAGACAGCTATGTTGTGGAAAGGCAGTGGGTCCAGACCCAGATACCTGAGGATGATGCCTGGGTGCTTTCAGTAAGTGGCAGAAAGACCCTTCCCCTTGGGCTCGTCCCAGGCCTCAGGATCACAACCCAGGCACTACTGCTTACTTGCAGATTCCTAAGTGAGATTCAAAAGATTTTCCTTCTTCATGTCTTGTTCTGATCTCTAATATTTATGAATTGATTAAAAGGAACCCTGCATATAAAGTCATTGCTATTACTTAATATTATAGATATTAGAGACCAAAGAAATGGGGGAGGAAGGAAGAGAGAGAAAGAGAGAAATAGGGGGGAGACAGACAGAGAGAGAGAGAGAGGGAGAGAGAGAGAGAGAGAGAGAGAGAGAGAGAGAGAGAGAAAGAGAGAGAATCTATAGATCTATACACACTTTGAGTTTGCCAGAACAGTGAATATCTGGAAGATAATCATCTTGTCTAATTACAGAAGCCAAATGTAACTTGTATTATTCTCATGATGTCTTAATAAATTTAGTATTAAAACATTTACACAAATTTTTTGTTTACAGTCTAAAGTCCTTTTCTATCCCAACCTTGTACCAGAAAGTGATCAAGTGGCTCCAGTGTGGGTTTTTGTTTCTGCCATCATTCCGTCCAACCTGCTTAGCTGTATGCATATCTTTGGAACTCGGGTTTTTCTTTTCTTCTCTTCTCTTTTCTTTTTTCTTTTCTTTTTAATGGTTCTGGGTAGAGTATGAAGCTTGTCTGAAGAAGTTGGAATGTTTATTTTTCTTTAATCCTTATTCTTTTTTGAGACAGGGTTTCATTATACAGTTCAGGTTGGACTTGAACTCTGCCGCTCAGGCTGGTCCTGCAATTCTCTGCGATCCTCCCGCCTCAGCCTTGCTAGTGCTGGGATTATAGGCGTTTGCCACCACACCCGGCTTTCATCTTTACTTTTTCACTGAAATTTTCTATCATTTATCTCAAGTTTCTTCATTTACACAATTGTATTCCCCTTGGAGTACATATATTAATTTACTTGGATGAAAATGAGGAGTCTGAGAGAGCCTGTGAAATTTCTGGCAATGAGGCTCATTCTCAAGAGCAGCCCCCCTCTATTAGTTTGTACTGGGCGGGCCTGGCCTATGATGTTTTCTGACATCAGAGGATTAATTCTTAATAGAACAGATGCATTTTCAGGAAGAATCCACTGGGTCCATTAAGAAGCCCTTAAATGCAAATTACAGGGGCTGAGGAGACAGCTCAGTGGAGTAGGTGCTTGCCTGGCAAGCGCAAGGTCCTGAGTTCGATCCCCAGTACCAGAAGGAGAAAAAAGCAATTAAGGTAAGGCCAGACTGACAAGATGGAAGATAGACCTGCCCAGCAGTTCCTGGGTTAGAGGCTCCCAAAGGAGCTGCACCCCCTGCTGGAAGAGATTTGTTTAGCTCATCCCCGCTCCCCAGCTCGGCCGGCCGGACGCGGAGCAGGAGCCAATGAGCGACGAGCGACGAAGGCGGGAGAGATCGGAGCTACCAATCAGGTGGGCCGAGGGAGGCGGGTACTTCCGCTGTCATGGCGCCGCTGCCTACGCGTCGTGTCCCTTTCCAGGTCACCTAGCCGACGGGACCAGTTTTCTGTGACTCGTGCTTACTGCATTCGGAGGGCCCTCGGAGACGCTCGAGCCGCGCAATGGTGACGTTACGGGAAGGGCGCTGGCGGTGGGGTGGAACTGCGGGGGTCCTGGGAAAGCGGCCCGAAGGCGCTCGGGGTCCCCCGCCGCCGCCCGCGCTCCCGGCCCTGAGGCCCGCCTGTGGCTCTGGCCCCGCGCTGCCGTCCGTCACTTTTCCCCTTGCTACGGCGGGCGAGTCCCGGCTCCCCAGCGCTCTGTTTCTGCCGGGCCGGTGCCGGCCCGCACGCCCGCCTCGGGGGCCTCAGGCGCGGCCAAGGAGCGCAGGCGCCCGGGGGCGAGCCCGGTTCCCAGACTCGGTGATGAAAATACTGTTAGTTGAGTCCTTCACCGGGGACCCCTGCTCGCGGTGATGTTACCGATTAAGCAAAGCCCGTAATCTCACAATTTGGAGGAACGAGGTCTCAACCAAAAGAAAGAAGTTGGGAGAGATGACCCTGGAATAGCTCCCCGAATTCCAGGAGGCGTCCCAAGTGGGTGGCTGTGTGGGTGCCCAGTACGAGCGAGTCTAAACAAGCAGAGGACGGTAGTGGCTCGGTTGTTCACTGAGCACCTGTCACATGTTGCTTATGCATCTAAAACAACCACTTTTTTTTTTTTTTTTTTTTTGACTAAAGGGATGTAAATCAGGCCCTTGTGTGCTTGCCAGGGAAGTTTATTCCACCCAGCTTTTTTTCTCCCCTGTTGATTAGCTAGGACTTAGGACTTTCAGGACAAAGTTGAATTTTTTTTTTTTTTTTTTTCCTTTTCTTTTTGAGATGGGGCTAGCTCGGTAGCCCAAGCTGGCCTGAACTTGGGGCATCCCTTCAGCCTCTGGGATGCTGAGATTCCGGGCCTGAGCCACCAAGCGTGGCCAAAACATCCTTTTTGAACTCAGGTTCTCTCTAACCCATCTCCTCATCATGAAAGGTTTAAAGGAAATGAATTTTAGAGAAACACTGGGTATTTCGTACTATAAATTCCTGGAAAAGCAGTGTAGTAGAGAGTGATTCCAGTTTCTCCTAACAGAGAGGAACCTGCATTCCATGTAGGGGAGAAAGTTCACTCTTGATTCCAACACCAAGGTGATTGTCCATTCTCATTTTGATTCCTATCAAATCACTACTTTTCCAGCTCTACCTCAGGCCCTTTCCCTGCTTAGCTACAAGCCTACTAAGTAAACTATTCTTCACATTTGGGCTATTGAAGGGAGGCTTGCCATAGAATTTCGAATGCTGAGGAAGATGCACAGGGTGGTAATGTGTTAGCAAGGGGGAAAGAGTTCCTGCTAAGGCCACCTTCCCGAAGGGGCTGCCCTGAGACCCACATTGAGAGCACACTGCACTCTGGGGTAGCTACAGGGACATCTCCATGTGAGAATCATGGGAGTGGGAAGGGGAAGGGGTTGTTCATCTCTGAGATAATGGCTGTAGCCCTTGGACTGTTTCTGGAGATTTGCTTTAAAAATTGAAGCAGTGATGGAAATGGACTGAATTAAACAAATCCTGAGAGAGCGAAGATCTGCAGGCATGTGAATAGGACAAAAGTTTTTTGAATACAGATGCAAAGGAGAGTAAGAAGGATGTAGCCTAGAAAAGTCAGTGCTTCTGAAGTTAGATTGATTGAGTGACAGTAATTGAAGGGATTGTCTGATGGCGTGGTCTGAGTGGGAGAAAGGTCACAAGACTACAGAAAGGAGGGAAACTTAATCGGATAAATACCTCTGTGTGTGCACCTGATCAGCTCATCTTGTCGTTTTTCAGGCAAGCTAGGAAATGCGGACACTGGTCTTGGAGGTTTAAAAGTGCATTGTACATCATGGCTGAAGTAGAATGAAGTGAGCTTCTGTTGGATCCAAAAGATTTCGACGTGTATTTGGTGTCTTTATTGTGCAGGGACTAAACTTGGTCAGCAGAGTCGCCCTTAGTTGCATCCTCCCACATTTGAAAGAAAAAAGGTTTTAAATCTTGAGGTCAGATTTTAGCTTGTCCAAGGTGAGGAGGAGTTTTGACACTGTTTGTAGCTCCTTGACTGTTGGGATGACAGACAGCTGCTAACTTGCCAGTCTAAGGTTGTGGCTTCTTCTTCTTTTTTCTGTTTTTCTTTGTGTGTGTGTGTGTGTGTGTGTGTGTGAGAGAGAGAGAGAGAGAGAGAGAGAGAGAGAGATAGATAGGACCTCGTCATGCAGTTTGGGATGGCCTTTTGCTCACTTTTGCACCTCCCAGGCTGGTCTTGAACTCACTGCGGTCCTCCTGCCTCAACCTCCTGAGTGCTAGGATAGGTTGTGGTTTCTTTCTTTCTTTAAATAATTTTATTGAAAAACAAATAGCAATGAGACAATCTCAAAACCAATTACTAGCACAGCCACAACAATTAATACATTGCATACTGTTGTCTTAGTGGTTGTTCATTGTACAAGATGCAGACGTGATATCCTGTCCACAGACACCATTTGAACAAATCTCTCTATTCACTGAATTAAGAGAATGCAGCTATATATCTATCCTATTTTGAATATTCGGATACAAAGTGGTCATTTGTGTCCCCTTTTTTGTTTAGTTTTTTCAGAGAAGGGTATTCCATTATCTAAATATTGTAGGTGCATGAATTCAGAAAAATATTCTAATATAGTCCAGTAGTCCATAATAGTAGTGGGTTTTCCATAGGACTGGCAATGTCAGAAGTTGTTGATTTTAGCTCAGCGTATTAATATGGCTTTACTTTTTATACTTGGTTTTTATACTTTTCTGTCGGATGGTTAAGACCATGATAAAGCAAGACCTATATAACAAGAAATGTGACTTTTGAATTTGATAAGATCAGTCAAATCCCCTCAAGATTTAATCTGAAACCCTGTACTGCAGTTTGTAGATCTTTTGTCAGTGTCAGCCATGTGGATGAGTCACGGCCATTGCTTTACCAGTTTGCTCTCTGAGAAAGCCTGAGAAAATGTTTTCTCTGCATGTGACTCTCCTTAGGCTCACTCTACATTGTCAATCACTTTCTTCTGTGGCCCCGTAATCTCCTTGATCAGACAAATTGGGACACAACTGAGTTACATGATGTTCCACTACAGGTTCTCCTATGTCCTGAGTCCTCACTGACCTTGAAAGGCTAGGACCAAAATGTTGTCTGTCCTTGCAGCCCTTCTTTTTCTCTAATTTTTGGTCTGTAAACTTAGGTTGTTAATCCTCCAGAAGAGAAGCTTATTACCCTACAATGTAGGCAGTTGAACTTAACCTCACTATCTGTCTGAGTAGTAAACATCTTTAGCATAACATGGAACAGGTACTTGCCATCAAGTATTAACATGTTAAACTTTAAGTCCCTTCAGAATATGAAGAAAAAAAAATTTAAAACTATAAAAAATATTTAAAAAAATACTCATAGGTGAAATAAACCAGACCCACATGTGTAAATATCATATAGTCTCCCTAGTAGAAGAACTGAAAAGAAAAAATAAGGATAGAAAGGTATAACACAATTAAAAGGAAAGCAAGAACTTGAGGATTAGGTGACGAAGAGAGGGCAAGGAGAAAAGCTAGCAAACATGACAGGGGCAAGGCCATACATTTATATGCACATGTTGGGTAAGGCAGTGATCCTGAGACTCTTTCATGTTATTGAAAGTAGCAGTTAATTAGTAGGATTCTCACCCTGAGTAACTATATATGCTGATACCTATAAATTAAGCAACGGCACTGAAGAAAGCATTGTGTAATGATAGGGTCATGCTTGAAATACCTGTCATTCTGGTCTTCTAAATATGTACTACTTGTCATGACATACCAATTACCGCCTACTGTCTCTGAAGTAAATGTTTGTTTAAAAAAAAAAAAAGGGGTAATAAATGAAGAGACAAGAAAAAAAAATGTCACAAGACTGTCCTGCTACCATGCTGTACATGGTTAGATTTCTAAATTTCTGTGTAAAAATATGTTTATTGTTGTCTTTTAATATATTTTTTTAGGTTGTGGTTTCTTAAATCACCATGAGTTACGATGATTTCAGTGCTTGGGTAAAGTAAACATCATTGAGTTATATGATGTTACAGTACAGGTTCTTGCATGTCCTGAGTCTTTACTGACCTTGAAAGGCTAGGGCCTTCAAGGTGGTGACGTCATGGTACATGCCATAGTGCTAGCCACTTGGGCGACTTAGGAGCATGAATCACCAAGCCCAGCATGGATAATTGAACAGGATCCTTTTGCAGTATGAAATCAGTATTGGGGGCCATGTCCGTGCTGAATTAACTTCTCTAGAGTGCAGGAGGCCGAGTTAAGTCTCTAAAAATCTAAGGACAGCGGGTTTTTAGTACATATCTTACATTTACTTTTAAATTTTGTCCATTTTTCACATTAATAGTACATGGTACATAAAGGCAGTATTTCCTCATAATGCGGGGTGGCAGTAATGAGTCACTGCTCTCTCAGCAGCAGGACGTTAGGAGCAAACAACCAATGAGTTAGAATGCACCATATTGAGTAAAGGACGTGATATATTCAGTGCAGTTATGAATTAGGCTTTCATGACATAAATTTTCTTAAATGCCGAGTAGGCTATGTGTATTGAGCTGCTTTAAGGACTCCAAGACCTCACAATGATGTTTGCTTATATTTTCTCCATCTTCAATACATTTTTATTCTCAATCTAGCTAATCAAGACATTTCCCTTTCAAACTCCAGGAGCATCCGGAGCTTGATTCCTTCAACTCTTCCCCTAGTCCTCTGTAAGTGTGACATGCAGCAAGCTGTTGTCTGTTGGGAATACTGTATTAAGTTGTTTCTCCATCAGTATAATACAGTTTGGGAAAGGAAACACCACTATGGATTTTGTTGCCTGAATTTTAAAGTTAGGTTTAGAATGAGGTGCCCCACTCTGGTCATATTGTTTTGACTTATCTCCAGGATAACGGGTTAGAATGGGACCCTTCACTTTGCAGACCCAGAGCTGTGTAGTTGGCAGTAGTGTTAGGGTAAGGTCTAGCTATATCAGGTGTGTGTGCAGTATTCATCACAGGTCCAGT